ATGTTGATTTGGATTTTTTCTTGGATTTCAATTTAGGGTGTTATTCGTTTTGGAATAGAATTTGGATTTAAATTTGAGGTGTTATTGGTTTAGGACTAGAATTCACATTTGTATTTAGGGTGTTATTGGTTTAGGACTAGGATTTGGATTTGAATTTAATGTGTTATTGTTTTAGGACTAGGATTTGGATTTGAATTAAGGTGTTATTTGTTGTGTATGATTGTTATTAGGACTAGGATTTCAAAATCCACACTCTATTCAAACTCTATAGTTTTAAATGAGAATTTTTTTGAGAAAGTCCAAATCAAAATTGGTGGATTGTGATCTCCACTCTGTGTATTTTCTCTCTCTTCTCTTTACTTATTTAAATATTTAATATATTTCAAATTAAATATATTTAATTTAAAAATATTTCATATTCCTAAATTATTTATTATTTATATATTAACATTCAATGTAATTAATTTTAAAACATTGTAATCAACTTATTTTTTATTAATTCCTTTAAAATGAAATCATACGATACATATAAAAAGAGCCTAGTCGCTAGCTGTGTGCTTAGTTATTTTGTGGTGTAACATTATGTTCGGACAGGTTTGCTCCTACCGTTCGGTCCTCTCCTCTATTTGGCTTTGTGGGCCCCACTAAATGTCACCCAAGTATGCTATTTCACGACTGCAACCGACTTAGCATATTGTAATTGTTTTATTTGCCATTATCCTTCACAATTATTTTGTGCTACAATGTTTATTATTATTATTATTATTATTATTATTCCCACTTCGGTGATGATAATCAAAATGTAAACCCAAACTATATGAAGTAGACAATATAGCCCACTTGATAGGAATAAATCTCTACCATTATGGTCTCAAATCTTCATAATGTCATATTAGTCGCTCGAACCTTTTAAATTGCTCATAAGTCCCTCAAATTCCTAGAAGTCTTGCAATTTGGTCCCTTAATGACCAAACCAATTTATAATCTAAATAATACCCAAAATCATACTCAAAGCCATATAATGAGTAAATATTTGACTATTTTGTTGATAGTTTTACATTGTAGCAAATTAGTATATCAAAATTGATTATTTTCTGATTTGGAGGTATTTTCCCCCAAATTTGATTATGGTGTGGTGGTAGTTCTGTAAATAGTGATATTTAGGGATGGTTTTGCAAATACACAGGATTTAAGGGGTATGCATAAAAAACCTGCTTTTAGGATTCTACATTGGTCCCTTAAATCTTTCATATTTCAAAATTATTCCTTTACATTGAAATTTCTATTTGGTAACACTCTTTGAAGAGTGTACTTCGTTTAATTTAATTAATTTTACTTCGAATCTGTGTGGAGTAGAGATCATTTACAGCCTTGGTTGTATGGAAACTTTATAATTCACTGATAACATCTCTTGATCCAGTGAGAGCCATGAATGATATTGTTTACACAACTTATTTAATCCATTTAATTTTAGAAAAATACGGGTCTCTCTCTCTCTCTCTCTCTCTATATATATATATATATATATAGAGAGAGAGAGAGAGAGAGAGAGAGAGAGAGAGAGATTAATGGGTATCCTTGTCATAGGAGGGGATTTCCTCCTTGACGCCTCTAAAATCACATGATTGAGCGACATTGTGGATGATCCGCTCCGTTGAACTTGATCTACATATTCTAAAACCCCAACATACCAAGTTTGGGGTGAACCCGTCGTCGTTTGACCCTTCATCCACTCGTATCAATTTTAACGGTTTTGAATGAATAGAACTTTTCACATGGCTCGATGGAGGGTCAAACGACGACGGATTCACCCCAAACTTGGTGTGTTGGGGTTTTAGAATATGTAGATCAAGTTCAACGGAGCGGATCATCCATAATATCGCTCAATCATGTGATTTTAGAGGCGTCAATGAGGAAATCCCCTCCTATGACAAGGATACCCATTAATCTCTCTCTATATATATACCTATTCTTATCTTTCCAAAAATGTTTGTTACCCTCCAAATTAGTTAGATCCACCCAGCGAAAATTTCTTCACCCTCATGAAATCAAAATGTATGAAACGAGTTTAATTTTTTCACCAGTTAGAGCAAAAAAATTAAACAAGTAAAAGTATAGTAACTGATTATTTTATCACAATATTTTCAATGAAAACAATATAAATTGATACACAAATTTATCTGTATATGATTTGATCCATCCATACTATAATATAAAGGAAGTCAAATCAAAATTTATCTTGATCATCTAATATATGATATGAAAGTATATGACATGAAAGTTTATCTCAAAGTATACTGCTTTATCTAAGAAAAATATCACTTTTTGCTTAAATGATATTTAAATTTTAAAGTAGAAAACAAATAATGTAGATAGCTGTACAAAGAAGAACAAGTAAATTAACCGAAAATTTTTTATGCATAATTTTTTAAGAAAAGAAAAAAATTAAGAAAATTTTATAGATATGGAAATTTGAAAAGAAAGAAATTGGCAGGATAAACATGACGCATATTGATATTTTTCATTTCATGACATAATGATCCATCATGATTCAAGTGTTCATGCTTTCATAAAATCTCTCCTCTTTGTCACTGAAATATGCACCCTTTAGTACTTGTTCATTCCATAGATCCTATATGGTACATGCTGCCTGCTGGTGGGGGTGGAAAACAACAAATTGAATCAAATATCACGATATTTGAATTCAAATTCTGCTAAAATTCAAATATCTGAATTCAAGTCAGATACCACAATGATATTGATATTCGATTCATCTATATCGATAATTATTCACGAATGTTCGATAGTCCACTTGCCTGGTAGCTTCCATTCTAAACATAATGGACCTTGACTTGAACCTTAGGACTGACACAATTTTGTCTTTTTAATTTGTTTGGAGATTTTTGCACATAAATCCTCCAAATTGTATATAACTGTAGATCTTCTCTCAAAGGCATCATAATTGTTTATTTCCCCTCTATCTCTCATCAAGTTTACACGTCAATTTAAAATAATTAAATTTTTTACAAATATTTAAATTTGCCATTTAATTCAATAGACAAAAAATAAACGAATATTTAATAATCAAGTGAAACAAATATACATTCGATTAAGTTCTATTCGTTTATGAACCAAATACTAAAAACTGATAAATGATCTATTAAATTGAATATAATTGAATAGTTGGACGAATAATAACCGAACTATTTGTTAATTATTTGTCATTTCCACCCTATCTACTGCCCACCTATTTCTTCTAGGCTTGGGCCTGGAGTGTAGTTGTTAGGAAATCCAGGATAACATAGATAGCGATTTTTTTTCTAAAGTTACTTGCATAGAATTCATTGTCCGATAGGAATTTTATCATTTTCTAGGTGAGCTAATTAGCAGCATATATTTGCACCTTATTGAAGGTTATTTAATTGAAAAAAAATCATCTCATTGAATCTTGTCATGTTCTTCACCTGTGAACATTGATATAAATAATGGTAAATAGCCCCGCAATAGCGGCGCTAATAGCGTTAGCAGTCCCTTCCCGCTATGCTATCGCCCAATAGCAGTGATATATTGCAAAATATACACTTTCCATTTGCAAAAGCGGCCGGTCAATAGCGAACCCTAACGGTAAGCGGGCGATTGCGTGCAAAATTCACTTTTTGACTGCTATTTAAAAGCGGTTTGGGATTTATTTTTTTAAAATTAAACCCGACCTTTAACCATTGCATTCGATCGTCTCCCACGATTTTCAGCGTGCTCCCGCCGCCTCTCATAGTCTCTGACACCTAACTCAGCACTTCCTCTCACCTCCTTCTCCGTGAGCTCCTCCTATAGCGGTCCTCTCACTGTTCAGCTCATCTTCTCGAAGACGACGACTCTTTGACTTCTCCTCCAGTCGACTTTGGTATTATGTTACATGTTTATTTCATGTTTAGGATCTCTTTAAATCATCAAATATGCAATTTTAGTTTTTCTAGATTTTTCTTTAATCTTTTTTTAGTATCTACACATATCTAAATTAGATCGCTATTTGATTTTGCGCTTTTTATTGCTATTTTGCCGCAATAGCTCCAAATAGCCTTAGCAATGCCTCATCGCTACGCGACGCTATCCGTTGTCGATAACCTTGTCTCAGGCCAATTATGTGTCACATGGATCAAATGATCTTATTAACAAAACTAACAGCATGATGCTTAGGATCTATGTTTGACTTCCATTTCCCTCTTTTTAACAAAATTACTGTTTGAAATAGTTTGAACAAACAAGTATTCACCATTTAGGGGTGTGAAAGAATTGTATTTGGAGCAACCAGAAGTATGAATACTATGTAGGAACGAGGAACATGAATCAGTATAGTAAAAAAGGATATGTATTTGCAGCTTACGGAGTGGTCCACTCAATATGGTGGAATGGTAGTAGCAGGGTAGCTTAAGAATAGAATAATGTCTTTGTTTATACCTATGAAATAACACAAAACAATGGAATGGAATGTTTTACATTGTCATGTTGTTGGTTGTTTTGAAACTTTTTCTTGCACCATTGTTCTGTGTGCTGCGTGTGTGAAGTAGTTTCATCTTGCACCATTGTTTTGTGACTTTTGTCAACACGTTTTCATGTTGAAGAATATTATCAAATGTCATCTTGCAGACAAGTATCAATGATATAATCGATTTATAAAACTGTAGTAATTTTCCATCGTGATGTTGCCTTATTTCCTTTTTTTTGTGTATCTTTCATTAGATGTACAGGTTTATGCTAGTTTTGCATGTATATTATTGGCATGTTGTGTATCCTTTAGTAAATTTAATCCTGAAAACTTTGTTTCACAATTGCAAATTTGTCCTACTACGTATATATAGGGAAGAAAATGTCTTCTTTCTAGTAGGCAGGCTTCCCGCTTCCATCTACTTGTTTCTTGAAATGCCATAATGGATTTGCTTTTCAGTTGGTGCTTCCATTAACATTGAGCTGGGTGTATAGTTTCTTATCCCAGGTTATGTTTTTAATCCAAACAGCATTTGAAAATTTAAATTAAGAACCACAGTGTGTAATAGTTGAAATGTTTCTTTGTTGATGCAGGAGCTCAAGAATGTTTTTAGTAATGTTCCTGAGATCAAAGAGCTGGTTGGTCTAGAAGATGCAAACAAAATAATGGATATTAAGCAACAAGACAAACATGAGGGAGTAAAGGCTATTCTACGGTCAATCTTCACTAGGCTTATGTCAGCTGATAAAGGCAAAATTTCTGAACTAGTACTAAAACTGATAAGCCGTTTGAATGAGGAAAGTAAGGTACTGCTCAATTCTCTTCTAATTTTTCATCTTTAAAAATTTTAAGGAAAAATTGTTTCAAGGCCCCAAATCCCAACTTTGAATGTGCCCCAGCCCCCCAACTTTCACACATGTGCCGCAACCCCATTTTTTTGAAAAAATTGTGTCCAAGCCCCTCTCCCCAAATTCCCATGCAAACTCCATACATAATCCCCATTTACCTTCTCCACCTCCACACCCAGATTTGGATCGCCCCTTGCAGCCCTCGCCCCGCCTGCCGTCCCGCCGCTCCGCCTCCTCACCTCCCTCTCAGCGCCCGCCTCCTCCCCGCGCTCCGCTCTCACCTCCCTCTCCGCCCCGCCTCCTCCCGGGCTGCCTTCCTCCCGTCGCCCGCCTCCTCCCTCCCTCCGCTTCATTTCCCGTCCCGCTCGCTCCCTTCCTCGCTCGCTTCCTCCTGCTCCGCCTCCCACGCTCCCTCCACGCCCCACCTCCCTCCCCTGCTCCGCTCTCTAAGCATTTCCAGACGATGGGAGCTTGGCGGAGATGCTGGACGCGGCCCACGTGCCAATGGGGGAGGAGAAGGATGTGTCAATGGTTTTCGTTTGAGCTCAATGTGTGAATTGTAATAGTTAACATGTTATCTATAATAGTTAACATGTTATCTATAAAAGTTAACATGTTATCTATAACAGTTAACATCTGCTGGCATGAGAAAGAGAAGAGGATAAAATCGGGATTTTAGGAGCTGACATGTCTAATCATGAGCTGACATATCTAATCATGAGCTGACATATCTAATCATGATGGAGGGGTCTGGACACAATTTTTTCAAAAAAGGGGCTGAAGCACATTAAAAAAAAAGAGGGGCTGGGGCATATTGAAAGTTCGAATTTGGGGCCTAGAAGCAATTTTCCCAATTTTTAATTGCATTGTTAGAAAAGTGATTTTCTATCTGCACATTTGACGATGCTTAAGTTGTAGCTGTTTTTTAGTTATTAAATGAAGTAGACTAACTTCCTTTATTTCACTGAATTTTTGACAAGGCAACAAGTCCATAATCTTCTTATCTTCTTTTTACCGTATATAATCTTCACATTTTCTGAATTCTTTCCATGTGTACTCTGGTGCTACTATTACGGTCCCAGATCATTCTGGAGGTTTATCATGGCGATGGAGCATGTTCTGATAGCATGAATTTATAACCAGTGTTGTCAATGCGCGAGGCGCAATGCGGGGCGCAAAACAATATTACGCACACATGCGCAAGGCGCAACGTGATGTGCATGCCCGAGTGATGTGAGGCGCACGCCGCACATAATTTTTCAATATATGTAATCAAGCGCGAAAGAACATGTTTTAAGAATTTACATGAAAAATATAATGATAAATAATAACTTACTACAAAATCACAATATAATGCCTTAATTCTAATGCTAAAACCCAACATAGTAGCAAAATGCATCAATTTTTAAATCAAATGTTAAATCAAGACTAATATCCAAGCAAAGGATTAGTAATGGTCAGTGTTTTAAATATCGGCCGTCATATCGGACATGGCGGCCGATATTGCGGATTCGGAGCCTAGCCGCCACGAAATTGTTGAATTTAATGCGTATGGCGTTTTTGAGGTCATGTCGGGGACATGTCGGAAAATAGCGGATATATCGGAGGACATTTCGGCCATCAAATATTGGCCAAAATTCAGAAATATCGGTTTCACATTGACATGTTGAAATCATATGATTTGCAATATCTTTCACCTTATCGGTTTCACATTGACATGTTGAAATCATATGATTTGCAATATCTTTCACCTTCTATTTATGTAAAGGTTCACATTGTTTCCCATCCACTACCCATATGGGTGCTTGTTGTAGGTTTTAATTACTTGTTATTGCATGTGTTTTCTTTATAATGGAAGGCTATAAGAACACATGAATTTATTTGTATTAGGTGCACATATACTTCGGTTTTACTAGTTTCTTGTTTGGAGAAATGACAGATATATAATAAAAATTCTGCAATTGTTAGTCGATGCAGTTAAGTAGTTTAGAATAGCAATTACGAGTTTAATTTTCAATCAGTAGAATATTCTTTTTGTTCCTACTAGTATAATGCACGCGCTTTGTATGTGAACATTTTTTTTGTAATCTTTTTCTTTGAGTGTAAAATTATGAAGTGACTTTTATAATAACATAAATTCTTAAATTGAACAATTAATAAATCTTTACATTAATAAATAAAGTTGTGTATAAAGAATTGTATTAGTAATTTTTATATTCTGGATAATTATTATACTTTAATAAGAATTGTCTAAACATATGCAGTTAAGCTGTTCTAGTGTCTATTTGGTTTTCTATGCAAAAGCAAAAACTTGGTGGTTGCTTGTGAAAATGAAGACCTTCTCATATGTACTTTTTTATATGTTTAGACAATATAATTATCAAGTATGTGAAGATTCCATTTATGATATTATATCAACCTATCCGATATGGCAATCCGATATTTTTTTCATGTCCCCCGATATATCCCCGATTTCCGCTATCCGACATGAATTTTGGCCGAGCCGCGAGCGACATGAACCCGACATCCGATATTTAAAACCTTGGTAATGGTCCTCAATTGAAGGCTATTAAAAAGGTCTAATGGATTTATTTTGCTTTTTGGGATATGGAATATCAAGTATAAAGACTCGATTGAAATGTTAACAAACAAAACTATATGATGATATGTACTACATGCACTCTGCACAAAGTAAGGATGTATGCGAGGCGTAAAAAGCGCTGCTACATCAGATGTGGGGTGCTTCGCCATTGCCCTGCATCGTGAGGCGCATGAGGCGCGCGCCTTTGAAAAAACTGTTTATAACTGATAAATATGATAGAAATTTAGATATCTTGGTGAGAGAATGGTGGTACCTGGATAAAAAAAGGATAGCAGATAGGCATACACACATGTTGATGCTCACAGAAATACTTTGAGTAGGTCAACCACAGAAGATATAATACATAATCTGAAATTTGAGTAGGTCAACCACAAACAGTTCACCTGAAATGATACATGCGTCAGTCCATGCAAACCTCTTTCTTTGTGAAGAAACTGGGTGTATGAGGAGAGATTGAGACATTGAACTTACAATGAGAGTGGGTCTGCATTAATATTCTGTTAGGTTACCTGGACACTTCATCTAGGCTCCTGTATCCATGTCCGACAATTCCCGTATTTGTGTCCATGTCCGACACTCCTTGGACACTTCCTGAATATATACATACATATATTCAGACACTTACTCATCTACCTGTTTTAGTTTAAAAGAATCCTGTTACACTTCAGTAACGTGTATCGTACCCCACCTTAATTAATACAACTTGTTGGACTTGGGGCATGTTTGTTGTAGCACGTACCTAGTTCATGAGTATGATTTTAAATGGTCGTTTGGGTATCTGGTTAAAAAACGAGTGGTTTTTCAACTTATAACTACTCAATAAAAGAATCATAAAACAGATAAGGATTTTAGTTCTCATTACTTGTAAATGAAAAATACTATCGATCTCATATAGATTATTAATTTTAATATCTATGTTTATAGCTGTCCCTGTATCCTTACTTTGACAATTTTTCCGTGTCCCGTGTCCATGCCCGCACCTGTATTTTTTCAACATAGGTATTCTGTGTCTACTTCTCAAGTTACTGTTCATAAGAGTTGCAAAACACTCCTTTTACGGGTACTAACTGGATTAATGGATGTGTGATGTTAATAGCTAGATCATATTAGTGCTCAATCAAAGACTATCGTGGAAGTCATGCGTAATGGTTATCTATGGAGACATTTGGCTGAGTTTACATGAGATTACCAGCCATGTTGATATTCAGTGTTGTATGCATGGGAAAATGAAAGAGGATAGGATGTATGTAGCATCGTGGGTGAAATCCATAAAGTTTCAGATATGTATCTTGAGTGAGAGAAAATGCTGCGAAGTCGAGGGAAAAAAAAGCAATGGAAAAAAAAACCAAGAGCGAAAGCGAAAAGAAGACATTGAAGTTAGGTGCTAATGTGGTTATGGAGTGAGCAGGAGGTTTTCAGAGTTTGGTAGAGAGGGAGAGATGACATAGACAGAGGGATGATGCAAGAGAGAATCACTTAGGAAGATTAATTCAGGCCAACCCCTTTTTTAGGATGGCCAGATTTGTAGGTCAGGCACCTAGGCACTGAACATGTTTTCCCCTGATCGGTCCTAAGTGGAACTCAGCTTTCTGCAGTCTAGGTTTGGAAATAGTTTGGTTATTAATCATCTACTATTCTTTCAAAATTTTTGTTTCAAAAATCATTTAAGAGAAATCAAATTTATTTTGATATTTCTATATTAAATGAATCGACATGAGCTTTCACATATTTTATCATTTCCTTAACAAATTTGGAATCTCAATCCCTGAAGATATGTATAAAATGTAGATTAAGAAATGTAAGAGGGATATAATATCATGCGTGTAATATTATAAATAATAATCAAATAGAAGTGTCTTTATAGTCAAAAACTTGATATCTATAAGTAAGAGGGATATAATATCATGTGTGTAATATTATAAATAATAATCAAATACAAGTGTCTTTATAGTCAAAAACTTGATATCTGTAAAATGGAGTATTCTCATTAGAATTCTGAGAAGAAAATTCAAATTTGAAATGCGAAATTTTAGACAAATGCAATATGAACACCTTGATATTTGATTCAAATTGATTGTTTCCATTCTTATTAGGGCCGTAAGCTCCTTGGTTTCTTAATATTATGAGTGCCAGCCTGGTAGGCAAGCCACCTTGGTGCCTAGGGTTCTTTTTATAGCACAAGCTATAGGGTTATATTGTAACATACTTGTCTGGAGTGTTGCACTTCTTGTTTTCTCCTTTTCAATTTGGGACACTTTTGGAGGATTGAGGTCCTTCATGGCAGCAGCCATTGTGAGCTGCTTTTTCCAGTTGAAAAGGAAGTGGCAATATGGTCAACAATGATCATGTCACCTACGTAAATAGGAAATTGTCAATTTTCGCCAGAAAATACAATCATTATAATTTTATGAACAGCAATGGGGCTTTTCCTGTGTTTGTAATATTTAAAATTGGATGGCTTTTAGTGTTTGAGTTTTCATATTTGCATTTCCAGACAAAACTTCTCATTTGATACTCAAAACTCATGATGTATTACCATTAACTTGTATCCTGTATTGCAACAAGTTAGCAATTATGACAATTTGATGGAGGAGTACCTCATTGTCAAGATTATACTTGTGTGATAGAGTGATAGAGTAGGTCTCTTTGGTTGGTAGCAAGTAGTGAGTAAATAGCTTATACTACTTTTTGGTTGGGATTATATGGAAATGCTCCCACTTTTAGCTTCCTCGCTGAAGAATTAGGCACCTAGTTTGATGACTAATGGCAGATCGCCCCTTGGTGGTGAATATTTTGGTTAGTTTTAAATAGAACTATGTAAATTGTCTTGTTCTATGGTTAATCCTGTTTTGATGGGATATAGGCTATGCCGCTATGATGATAAGTAAAGCACCTGCAACAGTTTTTGGCTTGATGTCTTATTTGGAATCATAGTTTATTAATTAGTACAAGCTCCACTTTCGTAGGATTTGTTATTTTCTTTAAATGAAAATTTTAGTGTTAATTTCAGTAAACCCGTCTGTGAACTTAAGGGTGTGGCAAATGAACCCTGAGCTGTTTTAATTTGAGAAATCCTTTTAAATTTTAGGGGGGTGTTGAGATGAACCCCTGAAATTTTGGTATGTAACTAACCCCTCGCCCCCTCCCCCCCAACAAAAAGAAAAGACATAAATAAATAAATAAATCTTAGGGGTGTCCCACATAACCCCGTCAACTTCCAACTTTTCTCAATGACCTTCCCTAACTGTAAATAGCAAATAATAAAAATATTTTTTAGAAAAATTTCCCAAATTTAATCGTCATTTACAATAAACGGACACCTCCCCACCCCCCAATTGGGGATTTCTCTCTCAAAAATATTTTAGCTATTTGTCATGTACAAGTAGAGGGTCCGCTGGGAAAAGCTTGAAGTCAGTGGGTCGGTTAGACACCCCAAAGTTCAGCGGGTTTAGTGTACAAAAAAAATCAGGGGGATATCTGCACCACCCCCTATGGTTATTTTGGGGGGCCCCACCTTGTGGGGGGGGGGGGGGGGGGGCTCAATTAGTTGAAGGGTGTTATCTGCAACAACCCCAAAATTCAGGGAGTCTTCTGAAATTAACCTGAAAATTAATATGATTCTTCCTCTCTTTTATTCCACTTAAATCAGTTTATTAGTGTTATTCTCTATACAGACTCAAACCTTTCAATTATTTTACCTGATTTTGCTATCTATTCTACCATCTTTTAATGACATAGCTGATAAAATATATCTTATTGGGATCAGATAAGAAAGCTGAATGAGAAGGAAGACCTTGTGCTACTATTGGAGAAGCAGTATCCATCTGATATTGGAGTTATATCGTCATTCTTCTTCAACTATGTGAAGCTTAACCCAGGTGAAGCCTTGCACATTGGTGCTAATGAACCCCATGCGTATATTTCTGGCGAATGTATTGAATGTATGGCAACATCAGATAATGTTGTGCGAGCTGGACTTACTCCTAAGTACAGGGATGTGCAAACTCTTTGTTCTATGCTGACATATAAACAGGTGAGTGTTTTCATTCACTGTTCTTTATTTTCTATATTTTTATTTCTGATCATTTGCTTATTTTCCTTGAAAGTGGCTTTTCTTGTATTCAACTTTTATTTGCCATATTTTTTCTCTTTTTCTAGTGTTTTTAAATGCGCATTCTCACGAGAAGGGCATTTTCTCCTTAATTATATTAAAAGATGATACCAACATAAGAAGTGTTATTTGAAATTTGTTGAGAGATATTGGGATCAAACCTGTCATTGTGAGGCGCGAATGATTGACATCATCCTACCTGATAACTAGTAAACGAGATTCTGGCAATCAATTAGACTGCAGGTACTACCTGAGGACACGCAAACCTGGAGGAGGAAAGGATGGTAATGAGATGAATTGAACAACACTGAAGTCTGGTTGCATTTCTTTGCAATTGAAGAAAGATAAAACGAAAAAAGGGAAGCTGGATATTTTGATATGAAGGCTTTTCTGCGCTCTTTTACACTTTTTTATATGAAGGCTTATTCTAGCTTAGGTGCAGTTCACATACTTTCTAATTTTCGTTTCTGTTGAGTTTCATTATTCATATCCTGCTGTCAATAGCTGTTCAGTATAACTATTCATCTAAGTAGTTTTAACAAAAGGAGAGTACAACTTTATTTTGCCTAGCCTGGTATCATTCTTAACTATCATATGCATAAACAGCTTGTATCAAAGTAAACCGTGGTTCTCTTGTAGACTGTTGGTTGAGGCGAACCCTTTCCTAGCTTTTTGTCGTTACCTGAATGAATCCTGTTAAGTGTATGGTTGTTTCTGTTCCTTTCTTCCTGTGAAGGAGTTCAGAATTTCTTCCGGTTTTGTTTGTTAAGGTACTGTTTTTACTAGCTCGAGTCAAGCCAAGCTAAACTCAACCTTCTCATTTAAGCCTGAAGAGCGTAGGATCCTCTTTGATAACTAAGAAATCTTTTTTTTTTCTTTCATTTAGAGAAGTATTTACTTTGCTAAACCTAATGTACAGAATCAGCAGGACTGTAAGTTCAATTTAAATCAAGTGACCGAAAAAATATGGCTTTATAGTTATCAATATGGAAATAATGTAGATAACATCACAAGCTCCCTATGGAACCTTTGTACCTCGAGGAAAACAGAGCAAATAAAGCTTTGCTCAGGTTTGTTCAATATTTAATCTTTCTTTTCAAGCTCGGCTTGTTTTGTTCTCAAACCAGCTATTACGAGCTTTTACCTATTCCCTCAAGCTGTACTTTGTCACAGCTCTAGTTAAAGGTCATATTCTGCGATTTATTTTAACCTGATTTAATACCTTTCGCGAGGCGAATAAAAACAAATCTCCTATGATACGGATTATTGAAAATGACTGTTTTTTAGGATTTGTTCTTGTAGCTATTTCGTATTCTGTGTGTTCTGTTTGTTTTACTGCTTTGTGGTTTTATCGTATTTTGTTTTATGTGATTATTGAATGAAAAGCCTAGCTCCACTGCTAAGATGTAGGAGTTAATTCATGAACACCATATCAGATATACAATTTGATATAAATTAAAAATGCCTGGCAACATAGTTTATGTTAGTTCATTCTTATGTTCTTAAAACTCTATGCAGGGCTTCCCTGAAATATTGCAAGGTGTTCCCTTAAACCCTCACATCTCACGGTATACACCTCCGTTTGATGAATTTGAAGTTGATCGCTGCTTACTTCCATCAGGAGAGTCTGTAGTTATCTCTGCTGTCCCTTGCTCATCCCTACTTCTTGTCGTAGCTGGCACAGGCAGTTTGTGCACGGGCTCAGCAGCTGGAGATACTCTGATCAGTGAGGGTAATGTATTTTTTGTGCTGGCTAATACTGAGATCAAAATTTGTGCTGATAAAAAGTTGCAGCTGTATAGAGCTGGAGTAAACAAGAAGTTCTTTGAGTGTTAGAAGGCAAGATTACTGGTGAAAGGGGTAAGTATTTTGTATTCTTTTTAAAAAAAATTATTTATTGTAGTTTATGTTATACGGTGTAATACATTATTTGTATTAAATGTAAAATTAACTCAAAAAAAGTATGGCACGGGCAGTTTGTGCACGGGCTCAGCAGCTGCAGGTACAGTGATCTGTGAGGGCCATATACTCTTTGTGCCGGCCAATACTGAGATCAAAATTTGTGCTGATGCTCATGGAATGTTGCAGCTGTATAGAGCTAGAGAAAACAACGAGTTCTTTGATTGTTAGAAACCAAGATTGTGGTGAAAGGGGTAAGTATTCTGTATTCTTTTTTTAAAATTTTTTATTTGAAGGTTATGTTATACCGTGTATTATGAGTTGTAATACAGACTTTATCCGAAATGTAAAATTAATTGAAAAAATAAGTTATTTTGTATCAACATTGATTTCACCTAAATATAATCAAGAAATCTTTTTCTCCAGATTTAAACTTCTTACTACATATGTCAGGGGAACTTGCAGAAAGCTGCGTTTTGACAAATGGATTTGCCATAAACACCTTATTTATTAGATTTGCAGTATGATTCTCTGTGTTTTAAGTCAAGAGGGGATTTGCTGCTAAAGAAAGTTACAGTTAGTGGTGTAATATACTATTTACCCTGTATATCATATAATAAAATTTCGACATCAAATCATAGTGGTTGTCATAATTCCAATTGAGGAGCCGTGGCTTTATTAAAACCCTGAAAGTGGATGATAGTACTTCCCATTGAATTGCGAAGTTTGGTTGTTGGTAGGTTTAAATCAAGCTATTTGAATCATTAGTTGAATTTGTTCCTTTATGGACGTGGTTGCCTATTGCCAAGTACAAGTATTTTGGCCTGTTCTCTTTCTAGGGACCAAATTGAAATAGTCCTGGTCAGTGATTTGGTTAGATTAATAGTCTAGGATAGATTTGATCGTCTTCTTTCTAGTCTTTTCCTTCATCATCGTTACAAGTTTACTGGTGGTCTATTGGAACTTTAGTTTGGAAGAGACAGCTTATAACAAATATATGAACTACAATAATTAAAATGAGATTAGACGATGGGCTGATCGTCTGGAGATGTTTAAGAAAATGGCGATGATGTAATAAGTCGAAATCAGAGCTAATTGTCAGTACACATCATGTATTACCAATACTTTGTATCTCTTAAGATTAGTTTTTAGCATTTGGACTCCTTGATATCAGTACAACAGAGAGTCTCTTAACCTCGTCGGAACACATTGAAATATTTGATGATCTCTTTGCCTTATGTTAAAAAATTAGGAGTAACAATTATTTTAACTCTCTCTCTCTCTCTCTCTCTCTCTCTCTCTATATATATATATATATATATATATATATATATATATATAATATATATATATATATATATATATATATATATATATATATATATATATTTAGCAGAGAACAATTTCGAGTTCCCAAATAGTCAAGGTCACTTAACAAGGAAGTATTTTAGTTGGTGATGATTGATGATTGAATTTAAAGATCACAGTGAAAGCAGATTTAATGATCCACAGATGGATTGGGATCTGCCTTAAGAGTTGATTTTGCTTTCATCTCTCTCTCTCTCTCTCTCTCTCTCTCTCTCTGGAGTTGAGTCCCATCGTGACTCTAGCTTTGACAAAGACTGAGATGGACGCACACTCAACTGCTCACATGGTTAATGAAAAGTTCGAGCTTTTCATTTGAATATGCCACATATAAGCTTCAATTCTGAAAACTTTTCCTTTCGGATTTTTGTTTTCTACGAAGACTTTATGATTGCCACAGATTGAAGCGATGTGGAGAATTGATGCTCATTGAAATCTTAGCTAAGGTTTTGACTAAAGGAGGAGAAAAACTGGATATGTAAACGGACGGATGAAAAATGAAGTAAAAAGTTTAAATTTGAACAGGTGCAAAGAGTGGGACAGAATACCAATTTGATTCAAAATGGGAAATACTGTACGGAGTTTTAAATTTGTAACGTTGTGATTCTTTTTTTTTTTAATTACTTTGCTCCGTTACATTCGAATTAAGCTTGGAGATTGTCTGGTTCGCTCTCTCGGTAATTGCGAAGGAAGTGTTAGTTCCATGTTGCTGCAATTACTCTAATAGCGGTTGAGCACAATTATAATTACACTTGTTTGTTTTAGTTGTAGAGTATAGAATCAAAATTGCGATTTTAGTTGTTGATGTTTGTTTCGGAGTATCAATTGTTTTTTTACTTCTTTTAAGAAATACAATTATAGTTTAAATAACCACATTTGTAGCTAAAAAATATTGCATTATTGATTTACCGGCAAATATGTGCAATTCAACGAAGTCAAATCAAACAAAAACCATAATAGTATAAAACCCAACCTCATGCATTTGTACATGAATTATTGTTTTAATATGGACCTCGTATTCTCTTCCTTTGAATCTGTTTGTAATCCGCAAAATACAATTTACTTATATTAGCTATAGAATCAATCAAAAAAGTTCATTTCCCCTCTCCCCCTAGCTTCTCACTCACCTATCAAAATCATCTACAAGCGATGGGTGGTTCCGAGCCACACATTAGGGAAACGAAATTCTCATTTTATGTTCCTGCTAGTTCTAGTGAAAGCTCAAAATCGCCATTCGCATGTGGATGGTTTCGATATGAATATTGAACTCTGCATATATGATGTTTCAAAAAGTGGAGTATGCTTAGACCAATATATTTATATCTAAATCTCATGCTTTCACCGATAAGAGGTTTCTTATCCTTTCAGTCACCAACATCCAGTAAACTTGATCCGTTAGATATGCTTTCTTGTGGCCACACCCAAACTCTCAGTCTCCCTCTCTATTTTTCTCTCTCCTCTGGTCAAATGGGACCCTCATTGAAATGACACTGACATGACATGAAATGTTGAAGGGATCACATCCTAAATTAAGTCACGTTTAGGTATCATCCATTTTCATGATTTCTTTTGGTGGTCAAAATTCTTTTTACACTTGTTTTTCTACGACTCTCCTCTCTTTCCAAGGGTTAGTCTAACTGCCCAATGTCTCATAACTTCAAACAACCAAGCTCTTCTCTCTTTGGTCAAGCTTGCGGCTATCACTTTCCTAACTCCATCAAGTTCTTTTGGAGTTCGCTTTCAGGACTTGAATTTTTCCTCTTCACCGCCCATTTTGTCAAGTTCAGTGTATGTTAGCTTCTTTGGTGATCTTGAGTCACCTCAAAGTTACTTTCAAATATGCATGATTTAGTGATGATATAGGCTACTCCCTTAGAGGTGAACTATACAAATGGCATATGCTAAAAGAAGCAAGTGAACTACAAATTGTAGAAAACGACATCAAATTGTTCAAAGTGTTGACAAACATGAAGATTCGGCAGGGGTGTGGTGTCTGCCACACCCAGGTGTGGCAGAATCTACCCTGTTTTCAGGGGTATGGTACGTGCCACACCCGGGTGTGGCAGACTCGTTTTCAGATTCTCACTATGTTTGGGATTATGTTGTGTTATAAATAGAAACACGTTTTTTAGGGTTTCTTAAGGAGAGAATTAGCATTGTTTTAAGCACTTTGAGAGAGAGATATTGTGAGGGAGTTGAGAGCTTTGGTTAGGGTTATATTTGAGTAATTTTGTGAGTTGTAACCCGTTGTATTTCTCATCCATATAGTGAAATCTCCCCATCCTCTCTCCGTGGACGTAGGCAATTGCCGACCCACGTAAATTCCTGTGTTTGGTTTGATTTGTGTCGTATTTTGGTGAATTGCACTCGTAATTTGGTTTGGTTCTCTTCTCTCATCACTCACCGACTCGTTTGGTTGTCGAACACGCTTCCGCACGGCTCGCAACAATTGGTATTAGAGCTCTAGGGTTTCAAATCTAGGGTTTTGCATTGGGTGGAGGAAGATTCGTTGTTGGAAGCTTAGTTCTTGGAGTTCTAGGCTTTGGTGGAGATAACGTTGTGGAGTTGCCAATGGAGATCTCGTTTTTCTCGTGTGGTTAGGAGATCTAGTTGGAATCCTATCTAGGGTTCAGTTAGGTAATTTCTCAATTCTATCAAAGTTTGAATCTTTCTTTACAATTTGGAGTTTATAAGCATGAGAGAAGAAGTTGGTGATAACAGCAAGATGATGACGAGTACAGTTCAGGTTGGACTTTAAAATACTAAGATTAGTGTTGTGAAGTATGGCAACAAGATCAATTTTGGTTTGTGGATGAGCGACGTACATGACGCTCTTAATGCTCAAAATTTGGAAGAGACCATCATGGTCCATGAGAGACCACCAAAATATAATGATGCGATATGAGACAAGATGAATAGGAACACTTGTGGGGTGATCAGGTCTTGTTTAGAATAAGAGCTAAAATACGATGTGATTGGGGTGACATCTGCGATGAAGATGTTGGAGATTCTTAACAACAAGTATCTTACGAAGAGTGTTGAGAATCGATTGTACTTGTTGTAGAGATTATTCAGATTCCAAATGTACAGAGACACCTCACTTGTGGCTCATGTGGACAACTATACAAAGTTGTTGTCGGACTTGGCGAACATGGATGAGAAGATAACGGATGGGTACAAGGCGATTATCTTGTTAGGCTCCTTATACGATGAGGAGTATGATACATTCGTGCTCACTTTGATGAACGAGAGATCTTCTATCACCTACAGTGAAGTGACTAATACATTGACGAACTATGATTTGAGGAGGAAGGACAAAGAGACTTTACTTCAGGAGAGGCCTTGTCGACGAGAGGTAGAAGTCCATATCTGAGAGGTGATAATAGGAACAGGTCAAATTCAAGGGGCCATTACCAGTTAACAAAGAACCAGTGTGCGTTCTGCGAGGAACGAGGACATTGGAAGAGAGATTGCCCGAAGCTCAAGGAGAAGAGAATAGCAAGAAAAAGGGCTCGAAGGCCAATAAGATGAACGTCGCGAGAGATGATGATTCCGATGATTTATACTTTTCTCTATTGATTACTCCAGATGTTAACCATGTGGATGCATCTGATTGGATGCTTGATTCTGGTGCTACTTATCATGTGACTCCCCGACGAGATTGGTTTGCATCATTTAAGAAACTCGATAGGGGCGTGGTAGTCATGGGAAATGATCAATACTGTGGCATTTGTGGGATAGATACTGCCAGGATTCGGATGCACGATAGAGTAGTCCATGAATTGAATGAAGTGAGATTTGTTCCTCAATTGAAAAAGAATCTTATTTTAGTTAGAGCTTTAGAGGCGAAGGGATTCAATGTGACATTTGAGAACGTTGTAGCGAATGTTACAAAGGGATCTTTGATGGTGATAAAGGAAGTCCGCAGTAGGAATTTGTATTATCTGAATAGGAGTACCGAGATTGGCTAGGTAGCTTTAGCTATTTCAGATGCGAACGCGAGCAGGCTTTTTTACTATAGGTTGAGGTACATATGTGAAAAATCACTGCAAGCTTTG